ACTTTGGTGGATGACGCTGGGTTTTGTGTTTGCACAGACTCCTTCCCTGTGGTTTGAAAGCTGCGTATATCCCGTTGGCCGTTTCAGAACTAGGGCGCTAAATACCACTACTGTTTAACATATGATGAAAGGTACAGATGGATGAGGGTGTGTGGCCCTGTGCTAGGGGCCGGCAGTCATTAGCATTTCATATGTGCCAGACGCTTCCGCAGGCGGCTAGCGAGCACATCTGATCTCTCTTTTGGGAAGATGTAACATATTCATCAGACCTGTGGCTCACTGTGTGCGCAAAGCGGAGCGGAGGCATCAGGAGGAGCCAGGGCAGGCAGACGAGAATGACCTCTCCTCGGGCCCAGCCATCTCCAGCACCCGTGCTGTGCCTTGCTCACCTTTGTGTTCCAGCAGCTGGCACGTTATGTTGAAAACCACACACGAAGACGTGTCTCTTACCTCCTGCATGGCGAGCCTCGGAGGTCGGGGGGATCACGCCTGTTCGTTGTGTGAGGTGTGTTCACATCTTCGTGTTGACTCACCGCAACAGGCTGCACTGTTGGGTGTGAGTGCTCACTCCTGTCCTGTCCAGACAGACAGACAGACGGCTGTTTGGTTCTCTCTACAGAACTGAAGCGTGGGCGCTAGCAAGGAGGCGTTTTCTTTAGTGTGTTGTGTGGAAGTCAAGGCCTGTACGATAGTGAGGAAGTACTTGGTGTAATTTAGTTTCTTCCCCTGCCTACCTTGTTTATCACCAACAAATAAAAAATAACCACTCACTACCAACAAACAAAATGCAAGGCTGTTCCTTCTGGAGAACAATCATGCTGAATAACTGTTTTCTGTTCGAAGTGCTAGTTTTAACTCCTTGCAGTGAGAGAATATTTGATCCAAGGGACAAAGTACAGTGTGGCCTGTCATATTTTTGCAATTTTTGGAATGTTTTAATGTGAAGTAACAGGAAAAAAATGCTAGAATTTTAAATACAAATACAGGCTTTTTTAGATTCATTTAATATCTGTTACCCAGTGGGCAATAAAAGTGCAAATGTAAAGTAAAATGACTTCTCAGCCTAAATATTGTTTCAGGAGCACTTTCCTAAGTTCTTTTAAATAAAATTACACCTCGCAGTGTGTTTATAATCCTTTAAGACACCTAAATCCTTAAAAAGAAAGTTGACCCAAATGTTTAAATAAAGACTTTATTTACAGAAATGAACATTTCTGACTCTCTCAGAGTATCATTTTCTGGCTACCTAATAAAAACAATATTCACTAAGCTTGCTGCAGAAACTGCATACTGTACCAGGCATTAGTTAGTATGTGAGTTGGACAGAAGCTTATTTTGGCTGTGAAATAATCGCAGACTTACTTTACACTCAAGCTTTATAAACTCATATAGGTCAGCAGACGAGCCGCTCAGTACAGTTTCATGTCAGAACAGGGCCCCTTTATTATTGAGGAGCCCTTCGGGTCGCAAGTCCCCATGTAAAAGGAAATGGAACCAAATCTCAAACCCTTATTGAATTGAGTCCAGTAAAATGGTTGTCAGATTCTTGTTTTTCCTTTGGTTCATTTTGATTTACTTTATCTGCTTATCAGAAATGACGTCGATGTTATTGCTGTGACCAAGCTAAAAAAAGATTTTTGTTAAAAGTACCCAGATCGTATCATTGGGAATACATTCCACTGGCCTCAGCATATTTGCCCTAAAAGGGTCTGTGTGTTTGTAAATATTGTAACTTGAAGTATGTGTTCTCGTAGAGACTAAAGTTTGACCTTGAGACATTTTTCAGTTAAGTGTGTCCTGGGGGCCTAGTATTGGCATCTTCCCTTTATTTGACACGTCCGTAAGCTGCCAGCTCCCGCAGACCTGCCCCAGCCCTTGGTTTGTGCTCGGTCACCTCTCCCTCTGATACCCTCCTTGCCTGCCTTCCCGCCGCTCTCGGGAAGTGCTGGTGTATCCTGAGGTCCCATCTCTGCTCCCTTCCTTTCCTCTCCCTTTTCCTCTTTCCAAGGTGTAAGAGCTGTTGACATCTGAATCTAGACCTCCTGTCTTAGGAGCCAGGCCCATTTGTCCACCTGCTCACTAGGTGCCTTTGCTTCAGGTCCTCCTGGGCTTACCCAACATGTACAACAGCAGAACTCATTGTATATCTCCCCAGACCTGCTTCTCTGCTGTTTCCCTGACTTGGGCTAAGGACACAACCCTCTACCAGAAGTCTAAGCCAGAGCTCTGCAAGGCGTGTGGTCTTCGGTACCCTCACCTCCTCCTTCCAGGTGACCACCAAGGCCTTTGGATTCTGTCTTTCAGAATTTTTTATTCATCCTTTCTCTCGATCTTCAGTGCTTGGTTCTCAGCTCAGCTCCCAGCAGACCTGTGCCAGCGGCTCGGTCCTCCATTCCCTCCCCAGGCAGGCCGCCTTGCATTCACCTCACGCTTCTGAACCCCTGCTGCCTGGCATGGGGTCATACCTGGAAAATATTCGGAAATAAATGAAGCAAATGACCCAGTTCTCTCATGTAACAAGTAACAGTGTAGTGAGTCCAGGACAGAGCTGTAAAGAATGGAGAATTCGGGCCCTGGCCGGTTTGGCTCAGCGTTTGGAGCGTTGACTTGCGGACCAGAGATCCAAGTTCGGTTCCCGCTAGGGGCACGTACCAAAAACAAAACAAAACAAAAAAGAATGGAGAATTTGGGATTTCCTCACGTGTGGACATTATGTCCTCATTTTTCAGAAAGCAGCACCCAGATCTGCTCGGGTAAAGGGAATGAACAATCACACACATTTGAGTTTTACACAATTACACACATTTGGAGTCCATATTTTTTAACTTAAATAGTCTCCTAATATTCCCGAATGATTTACAATATTCTTTCAACATTAGATTTTTAACTGTTTATGATTTATTGTTGAAACTATGTTGGGCAATATGCCTTCAAATATTCTGAAATTGTATTCGTCTGGCCAGGATCCCAGTGATTTCTCTAAGCCCAGTGACCTTTATACCCACATGACACGTACTCACCAGAGCAAGGAGAGGCAGGCCCTGGTCTTGGACTGCAGCATGTCATTTTAGGATCCTGATGAAAGCATAGGAGAAACTGGTGGCTGGAAAAGCTACCACAGCTCAACCCTGACCAAGGGGCAGTGTACTCTTTGTAGCCTCTCTGGCCCTGTGGAGCGAGGGATGAACCACGTTCTCTGCTTTGTGTCTCCCTTGTGTCTGCCATTTATTACTGAGTCACCATAAACACATGTGACTTCACACATTTTCTCTCCCCTTTGATACATAATGAAAGACACCATTACACACTTCAGATGCAGTGGATGACCCAGCACCCAGAAATGTCAGTTATTCTAACAAACCTCAAAAGACTGAGTGAGTTTTGAATTTTCTGTTCAGAGAGGGGAGTTAATAATTGGAAAGACTCATGTGACTCTGATGAAATCATTTCACACACTTGCTCAGAAAAATGACAGACTTGCTTACTTGCAGAAGGTGGTTATTTTTCTTTGAAAGACATCATTATGCTTTACTTCACAGAAACAACTTTTAACTGAAAAATCTTAATAAGGATTTTTTTTCAAAGAGAGAAACGGAGGCTGTTGTTGCCATGGTCCTGTGGTGACTTGTGGGCAAAGGTGTGAATGAAAGCTAGACTTCCTGCCTCTTTCTTCTTTCTGTCCTGCCTTTTTCACATTGATGAACAATTTGGAGGCCTCCGTGGGATGTACGATGATTTGGCAGCGGAGGAGTGGGCCACAGCACAAGCAAATAGTGCGGATAGACAGTTGGTGTCTGTTGACATTCACCTTATTTAGTAGCATTTAGGTTTTATGCTTTTGTAATCAATTTTTAAAATATAAAATAGCCCTTTATATGACTATTTATATGTTAAAATACCTTGAAAAAATATATCATAACCTTTTATGGCAGAGAGATTCTTTCAGATGTTCTTGAAGTGAAATCAGAGAGAAAAATCTTTTTGTCACAAACTTAGAATATAAGCATACTGTAAAAATCTGTCCAAACCACCTCCCTTTACTGTATGTATTGATCTTTGTCCTGAGTTGAAAAAGTTTTTTTTTTTTTTCCCCCAATAATGTTAAAAAGACATTGGACCTATGGGTATTGGGCTTGAAACGGAATTATCTAACATAGACAAAAGGAAAAAAAATTGCTTTGGGTGTTAGGTCATAACAATAACTAGGCACTTCCTTACGGAGGTGGAATCCATGCCAGTCTTGTTGTAGTGTGTGGCTGTGAGTACATCATCCGGATGACGGCACAGACGCTACCACTGCGGTGGCAGCTTCCTCTTTCTGCCTGCTGCTGCCCTGCAGGGTCTCGCCCCAAGCTAGTGATGACAGGGTGTAGCAGCTGGGGCGACAGTAGCCCATGGGGGCCTTTTGTTCATTCTCTCCATCGTGACTTTACATTGACCCAATGGCTTTGGAATCTCTGTGGAGTGTTCTGCCCCAGTGTGTTGCTGTATTAATGATGCCGTCACGGTTGCTTACTCCTTGATTAAAACCTCCAAGCTCTGCAGGTAATATTCTTCAGCCATTAGGGAATACAGGACTTGGTAATAAATTGTCAGTTGTCATAAAAGAAAATAACGCTGTTGTGATCAGAGGACCTTTGGCTTTGGAGTGGGACCAGCCTGGGTTTGAATCCAAGGCTGCCACGTTGGCTGGGCATCCAGTGACTTAACCTTGTGGGGTGTTGGGGGCATGTGAATCTTCTAGCTAGGCCTTCGGATGAAAGAGGTGCTAAGTAAATACCGGGCTCCATCTCTTCTGTGTGAAGCTGTGCATTTTCTGCTCGTGGGAGGGCAAACTTCATTTTCTAGCAGTCAGGTAAACTGACAGTGAGACACATGCTAGAAAGGAGTGGACAGATTCCCTGTAGAACCCCTTGGTACCATGTGATGCCGCGCAGTGGGGCCCAGGGAGAGTGCCCACTGTTGCAAATGCCAAATGACACGCCTTCCTCTCTCGGCAGGTGCCTGAGATCATCAGCTCCATCCGCCAGGCCGGGAAGATTGCCCGCCAGGAGGAGCTCCATTGCCCTTCGGAGTTCGACGACACCTTCTCCAAGAAGTTCGAGGTGCTGTTCTGCGGCCGGGTGACCGTGGCACACAAGAAGGCCCCGCCAGCTCTGATCGACGAGTGCATCGAGAAGTTCAATCATGTCAGTTGCAGCAGGAAAGCCGAACTCGACTCGGTCTCCCTGAATTCCGAGACCAGCAGCCCCGCGGGGGGCTTTTCCTTCACGGATAAGTTCCGGTCTGTGCTGCAGCCGGCGGGGGGCGCGGAGCAGGGCCGCTGGCCCATGCGCAAGTCCTTCTCGCAGCCCGGCCTGCGCTCCTTGGCCTACAGGAAGGAATTTCAGGATGGAAGCCTTCGAAGTCACAGCTTCTTCAGCTCCTTTGATGAAAACGACATTGAGAACCACCTCATCAGTGGACACAATATTGTGCAGCCCACAGATATCCAGGAAAATCGAACTATGCTTTTCACGGTAAAACATCACCAAGCCTCCCGCTCGTCTCCACTCTGAGATAATGCGGTCAAAAGAAAATCTGCTTTATTGCATGAAGATGCTTAGTAAATTGCTTTTGGATTTGTATGTGAATCCATATATTTTTATCCTGATTAATTCTTTTCTCAGGATAAAATCCCTGCTTTAGTCCTAAACCTTTACAATTCTCAAGGGGGAAAGATAAAGAGGATTCATTTTCTTGTATAATTTTTACTCCCCCACCCCCACCCCATAGTGGTAAAGATACCCTTTGTTCAGTTTGGAAAGAACACAGTTAATACGTGTGACAGAGGCCCCAACAGGGGTTTTTAAAAATGTATATTAATTTCAAGTAATCTGTATCAAAATCTATTTGGATCAAAATCTATTTGGAAAATACTTTGTTTACTTTTTTATTAATTTATAAAACATTTACCCTTTGTTAACCAGATGATTGGATTTGGAGAAGACATGATATTTGAAATTTGTACCCAAACTGAAATATTAGTTAAGCCAACTGCCTAGTCACTTTTTCTAGAAGTTTGGAAAACTGATAACAGGCCAAATGCCAGAAAAGGACTGCACGGGGAAGCTGTCCCTGGCAGTTGGGGTTCCTGGGTCCCCAGCTGATCTGGGCTCTTGTGGCTGGGCTCGTCCTCCCTGGGAGTGCCCTGGGTCTGAGCTGATGGGTTTGGAGCTGGCCCAGCAGTGAGCTAGCCTCTGAAGAGGTAGAGAATGATTGTTCCTTCACCCGCTTCTGTGTTTTTCCTTTGGCTTAAGGCTGATCAACATTCTAGAGAGATCGAAATTACCTTAAATGTCATATTTTAGTGCCTGCCTCAGGGCAGAGAGGTGGCTGAGGGGTGAAGAAGCTGGCTACTTAGGTTCATGCTGATGGGTGTGTAGGTTTAAGACCAAGAGAGTGGGTCAGGGTAAACGGGGCTGATTTCTTCCTGTTTTCATCATAGACCTAGTGCACTGAAGAGTGCTGCTTGGCAGTCAGCCTTGTGCTTTAATCTGCATTTTTAAAAGTCTCTCTTGAAGTCCCTGGGAAAGCTGCTCGGTACATTTCTTTTCAAGTGCTTACTGAGTAACTGCTGTGTGCAGGGTCCCTTGCACTACACTAGAAATACAGCAGTGAACAACACACCTGGTCTCTGCCCACGTGTGGTTTAGATACTGGAAAGAGAGACCAACAACTGATTACAACTAATTATCTCATGACAATCGTGATCAATATTGCAGAGGGTAAGTAGAGGATGCTGCAAGGGCATCTGGGGAATCAGTGAAGGCTTCTTTGAGGAAGTGAGTTTCACCGAGCAGAGGTTTCAGTGTGGACAACTAGAAGAGTATCCTGGGTTCAGGGAGAGCAGGAGAGAAGGCCCTGGGGGAAGGATGGAGCACAGCTAACAGGTGGCCATGGCAACTCAGACAGACCTACAATGAAGTCTGTTGTGCTGACCCGCATCAGTAAGACAGTGTTGATTTAGGCTAATGCTCTTACTTTAAAAAGTCAGGTAAATAGTACAGGGATGCCTAACACACAGCATGTACTCCACAAATGGTAGGTTAATTTAACAACAATTTTAAAAGACTTAGTAAAAAATCATTAGAAAACTATTTGGGAAGTTTTAAAAGAACTTCTGCTTTCTGGAAGATTCACTCATGTGGGAGCTGAGGCTTTGCTGCTAACTGTCGGATATTTGGTCCTTCCTCTCAAAGGAGAGCTCTTCTCATGCAGGTGAACGCACTAAGTTGTCCTGCGCTACCCAGAATCCTTAGGGTAAATAACAGCCTTGGAAGCGATTTTCTGCAGCAAGATGGTCAGAGTTTTATAGAAGCTTGCCCCTTTCATTCTTTATTTTCGTAGGTCATGAAATGAGAAAGTTTGTGTGATAAGTTTGAATTCAGCTTTCATGAGAAGCTGCTTGCTCTTTTTGTTTGTCTTTTAAGATTGGTCAATCTGAAGTTTACCTCATCAGTCCTGACACCAAAAAAATAGCATTGGAGAAAAATTTTAAGGAGATATCCTTTTGCTCTCAGGTAAACGAATGTTGAATGAATTATTTTAATATCTGTTTGTCAACAAGATATATAGGTTCTAAGTACTTGATTTGTCTTCTTGCATTTTTCTCCTTTATTTTGATATATTAAGGCAAAATATGAACATAATTTTGACATTAAGACATTTGTTTTTAGAAACAATAACGTATTGGAGAAAATAGGTCTACTTTTCTTTTTTTTTCAATTAGTGGTGGTAATATTCCTGAAAGATGATTCCCAGGTGTATATGCCTATGTCTGTGTGTACGTTTTAGGTATGCATTTACACACACACATAAATACATATTTTAAGTAGATACTTATTTCTTCTTTACAAAAATTATTTTTTTGGGGTACCAATAATCATTTCTTCTTTCTTAAAATATAATAATAATAATTATTTATATATTATATATTATATACACATTAAAATATAATAGTTAATAATTATCATTAACTAATAATCATTTATATATTATTATATAATGTATTATATATAATGGATTATTTTTTAGGATGTTTTGCTCAGAATACTGTCCACTTGAGTTCTTTCTTGGTAGTCTCCTGGTGTGATGCATAGGTTTTGGAGAATCAGTTATAAGTGAGCTATGCCGATTTTACTCAGGAACTTCCTATCAAATATGAGGTCATTTAACATTATTGTTTGACTATTTTTAAAACTCTGACTTCTCACTTCCTCACTTTTATTTTCTCTCAATTAATAAGATGATGAAAATCTCATTGTTTATTGATTTATAACATGATCTACTTAAGGAATCAAAAAGGAATTTCTTTTTTCAAAAGGTGAAAATAAAGAATGTTCCGCCCTGGCCGGTTTGGCTCAAAGGTTGGAGCGACGGCCTGCGGACCAGTCCCGGGTTCAGTTCCCGCTAGGCCCTAGCGGCTAGGGGCATGTACCGAAAAAAAAAAAAAAAAAAAAAATGCTCCTTCATAGATTGAATAGGGAACCATTTACAAAGGAACCGTTTTTTCCAAATCTTCTTTCCCTGAGCAGTAAGCATATGCTTAAGTTAGATGTTGGAGAACATTGATTGAGATGCTGGCTTATGTCCATGATTGCTCATTTATTGGAAAATATATGATCTGAAAGTGAGATTCTCCACAGAATTTTTATGTTGATTTGTTGCTATTTGTATTAAAATGTTGATGTTAAATGTGTGCTTTGTCACGTGATAGTTTTATGATTTCCTCAGGTTTACGTAATCACCCGAACTTCCTGCTGTCAACACTCACCTCTGCACCCCGCCCCCTCAGGATCCTGAACACTAATATTTATGGGCATTGTCTTATCTGTATTAAGGTGCCTCTTCACTGATACTTTCAAAACAAGTTTAGCTATTAATATTTAGTAAAAAGAGCTCTTAAGAAACTATGATGGAACCCTGGCTTTAATATTTTATGTTTAGAAGCTTCTCTGTTCTTTGTGATTATAATTTCTGATCCATTCTTCATACCAGTTTACTTCAGTATTTACCTGTTTATTTTATAAGTACATGTTTTAAATATTTTCACCTTTGTGTCAGTGTGTGTTTGCATGTGTACATGCGTGTGTGTGTGTGTGTGTGTGTATGGGGTATGTCTACAACTGTGTTTCTTCATTAATCTCTGGTCTGCTTTTGATTTTCCAAGTAGCTCTTTATCCTTTAACATCTAAGAAAAATTCTCGTTTTTCTGTCAGCTTTTCTCTCCTTCCTTTTAGTTAAAATGAGCATTACATACTCCTGTTTTCAGATCTTACTTATCTTATTGTGGGAATAATCAGAGCCACATTTTAGAAGAACTGTTAATCATCATATTTGAGAGGTGTCTTAGACACTTAAATTATCTGGGAAAATACTAATTGTTTGGTGCTCTCGCACATCGTGTGGGGCAAATGTGCAGGCGCCGTCCGGGCACCGTGCCTCTTTGGGATCCGGCTCACCGTTCCTTCCTCCCCGCCTCCAACAGGGTATTAGACACGTGGACCACTTCGGGTTCATCTGCCGCGAGTCTTCGGGAGGCGGAGGCTTTCATTTCGTCTGTTACGTGTTCCAGTGCACAAACGAAGCTCTGGTAAGCCAGACCAGCGCTCTCGCCGGCAGCCTTCGCTCAAGGCTGTCGGCGCACTCACGTGTCTTTCCTTAGCAAAACCAGTCTCGTTGACATATCATCATTTGGCTTGAATTATTCTCTCGTGACTGTTAAATAGCCCACATCTGAGACTTACTTGGGTGTGCATTTGTGATTTTTATTATTTTCAAAGAACCGAGTTGCCTGCCCCCTCTGGTTTAGCAATTTAAAAATATCATTTTGGACATTTGATCATAGGAGTTGGCTTTTTCACCCAGTATTTACTTTGTGTTATTAGTTTTTCTCTTATCCCCTGTAAGAGCCTTGAGCATCTAGGTTGTATTTCTCAGGTGGTAATCCTAGCAGTTATTTTTTTGTCATCTGAAATTCTTACTACTTTTAAAATATTGTCTTTATTGTTGAAAATATTACAAATGTTTCCCCCTTTTTCCCATCCCCCCCCCCCAAGGACTTCCCCACACTATTGTCTCTGTCCATGGGCTATGCATATATGCATATAAGTTCTCTGGTTAATCTCTTTGCCCGCCTCCTCTTCCCCCTGAAATTCATCAGTCTGTTCCAGGCTTTTGTGTCTCTGGATCTATTTTGTTTGTCAGTTTATTTTGTTCATTAGATTCCACATATAAGTGAGATCATGTGATACTTGTCTCTCTCTGACTGGCTTATTTCACTTAGCATAATACTCTCCAGGTCCCTCCATGCTGTCTCAAAGGGTAAGAAATCCTTCTTTTTTATAGCTGCATAGTATTCTATTCTGTAAATGTACCACAGCTTTTTATTTTATTTTAATGTTTATTGTAAGTATTACAGATTTTCTCCTTTTTTCTTCCATATACCACAGCTTTTCTATCCACTCTTCTACTGATGCACACTTGGGCTGTTTCCAGATCTTAGTTATTATAAAAAGCACTGCTATAAACATAGGGGTACATAAATTATTTCTTAAAAATCCTGAATCCTGGCAGTTATGACTATTACCTGCCTATTTATGACTCACAGTCTGGAAATTTCTTAAATACAAAGTCTTGCCGCAGAGTTCCGAATGCTGAGCCCAGCTCATTTTAATTGGACTTGTCGCTGGCTACAGTCTCTCTTCTCTTTGACCAGGTTGATGAAATCATGATGACACTGAAACAGGCCTTCACGGTGGCTGCTGTGCAGCAGACGAAAGCGCCAGCCCAGCTGTGTGAGGGCTGCCCCCTGCAGGACCTGCATAAGCTCTGCGAGCGCATCGAGGGTGAGTGGGGCCCCTCTCGTGCTTTAACATAGTGGGAGTGAAAGGCCCCCCGGAAAACGAGATGATCTGTATTTGTTGAGAGGTTCTGCCTAACAGAGCCTTGTATTAGTTACTGGGGTTGTTCAGCATGCAGTGAATGTGTGCCATAGGTCAGGTATTGTGCTAGGTGCCCCCTCTTACCATCTGCCCTCCAGGGGGCTTTGAGGTAGTGGAGGAGCTAGGGAAAGGGGTTACAAAGCCAGTGCAGTAGTTATTCAAGGTTGTATGACTGGCCTGTCCTATTGGCTGCTATGGAGAGATCTAGTAAGATAAGAGCTAAAGAATTTTTTCTGGGTGTCTCGATTGGAAGGTCATCGGTAACCTCTGCCAGAGCAGTTTTACTGGAGTTGAGGGGACCGAAGACAGGTTGAGGAGCAAATGGGAAAGAGTAAAAGAAGTGGTGACTGAGTATGGACTACACTTGATAGAAATTTGACTGAAGGCAAAACCATTATGTTACGATTTGCAGCTATTATTTGTTGAGAACGTAAGAAGTGCCAGGCCCTGTGCTAGGTGCTTTCGTGCACCTGTATTCTAACCCATTTAATCCTCACCACATGGTTGGAGGAAAGGGGCTATTTGTTTTGCACATTGTAGGGATAAGTTGAGGATTAGACAAGTCTAAGAGTAAACTAGTGTAAACTAGGAATAAACTGGTCCAGGAGTCAGACCCAGGTGGGAAGCCCCGCTGTTACCTGCACCAGCGCTGTCCTCCCAGGAGAGGGCCATGTGGGGAAGAACCAGTGACTTTGTTTTTCTCAGTGGGAGGGGTTTGAGCAGATTCAGAGCTTGGGGGACCACACGGGTCAGAGGGGACCGAGGACGTTCCGCCCGAACGAGGATGGGGAATCCGCCTCGGCAGGGAGAGGCTCTGTCTCTGGGACTGCAGGAGGGGCCCAGGGCCAAAGGTCAGGATGAAGTGGGGGCTGTGATGTTCACCAGAGGAATCCTGAAGCCGAAGGGGTTCATTTCTCTCTCTCACTGATTTTGCATTTTGTTCCACTTTTGGGAGGATTTCTAAAACTTTCTGTGTGTGGTTTTGAGGAGAATCACAGAGTTAAGCAAACCATGTTAATGTTAAAAAACAGAAGATTTTTTTAACCAATTTTTTCTTAGAAGGTTTTTGAAGTTTCCCATGTCTCTTGAATACTTATAGGTGCTACAGGTGTGAAGAAAAAAGACATTACTATTTAAATGTGATTTTATTTTTTAATGATTGTGGTAAAAGTATACCCAAGATAAATTTCATCATGTTGCCCTTTTCACGAGTATAGTTCAGTGGCCTTACGTACACTCACACGGTCGTGCAGCTGACACTTCCGTCCAGCTCAGGCCTTTTTCATCGTTTCAGACTGAAACTTATTACACATCAGCTCTCAGTTCCCCCCCTTCCCGCCCCTGGCGCCCAGCATTCTGTCTGTCTCGACGGCGGTGACTGCTCTAGGTTTCTCACAGAGGCAGAACCCCAGTGTTTGTCCTTTTGTGTCTGGCTTATTTATTTAGTAAACATCTCCTAGGTTCATTCGTGTTGCAGCAAGTGTCAGAATTTCCCTTCTTTTTAAGGCTGAATACTATTCCATTGTGTTAATTTACCACATTTTGTGTATCCATTCATCTGCCAGTGGACACTTGGGTTGTTTCCACCTGTAGGCTGTAGTGAATGATGCCGCTGTGGGTGGTAGTGTACAGACACCTGTTCACGTACCTGCTTGTCATGCCTTTGGGAATATACCCAGAACTGGAAATGCTGGATCACGTGGTAATTCTGTGTTTAATGTTTTGAGAAACTACCATAATGTTTTCTGCAGTGTCTGCACCACATCAGCAGTTTCTCTACCTCCTTGCCAGCACTTGTTGCTTTCTGGGGTGTTTTTGTTTGTTTTGTTTTTTATGATGATGGTTTGATTCCTCTTTTTAAGTGAGATAAATTGACAATTTTCTTCTTAAGGTTTTTGAAGTTTCATTTTCTGGCATTATAGTGCTCTTCAAAATGAATCAAAATGATTAATATTTTCAACTGTTTTCCCAATTGTTACTATTTGCTGACATCATACAACATATATCTGGGAACAAGAAAAGTTGGGCTTTAACTAGAGATCTCATCTGAGAGGATTGCTGACCCTTTCCTAGTGGCTTTCAAGATAAGGTACACGATGATGGAAATGTCCCTTAAGAGCATATTAAGAAGCCAGCAGTGACTTTGGCCTTGAAGATAAAGCAGATTGTGATCTATAGGGACTGGAGGGGTTCCAGACTTCCACCTGATAAATCTTTCTTCAGCCTGGCTTAGTTATCAGAAAGTCATAACTGATAAGTTTAATCGGGGTAGAATTTCGCAGCTATAGGTTTGCACATTTAATTCATCTGTCATCTAACATCGAAGCAAAGCAGAAAGCGGTGCTAATGTAAAAGCGTCCATCACGTGGGCTGGTGAAGGTGTGTTTGCCTCCGTGATGGGCAGCATTTCCAGTACAGATGGCACGATACTAAGAGGCATCCGCAGTAGGGGAGATGCAGTTCTTTTATGAACAGTTTGAGGCCCTTGTTTTTTGCTCTGCTGCATTCTAATCGGCACAATGAAGCAAGCGGTTTTAAAGCTCATTGCACGTTCCCGTAAGCGTAGTTAATGGGAGCATATGGTCTGGCTGAGAACTCCATAACTGTGCAGAGGACCAGCGACACGGCCACTGAAAGAGAGGCTTCAGGACTGTGCTTTGCTAACGGATGTGGCCAGGTTGTGCCCCGGAAAGTATGAAACAGTAAATACTCGGTGCACACTGACGACCTTGGACATGCTGCCCCAACGGGCGCTTACGGCACGAGAAGCAGCTCCGCGGTTGGAATCTGAACTGCGGACCACTGCTAGTTGTATTTACGTAGCATTTTGCTTATTTTAAAGTTTAGAGGAGCACTTTCAGAATTACTAGAATGAATTACACTTTCACTAAGAAGGGAACAAACAGCTGAACTGAGGTTTCCTTCTGCACTCTGAGTAAGCCAGGGGTCCTTAACCTCCCTAATGCTGCGACCCTTTCATACAGTTCCTCATGTTGTGGTGACCCCCAACCATAAAATTATTTTTGTTGCTACTTCATAACTGTAATTTTGCTACTGTTATGAATCGCCACTGGAAATATGTGTTTTCCGATGGTCTTAGGCGACCCCTGTGAAAGGGTCGTTCGACCCCCAAAGGGGTCACGACCCCCAGGTAGAGAACCGCTGGACTAAGCCAAGCCACTGGTCAGAGCTCCGCTTGCAGCCTTTCCGGCCATGGCAGAGTGACGGCAGGCTCACCAGCGAGGGGGCTGTGGGATTAGGGTTTGGGAATGCCCTTGATTCTGACTGCGTTTTTCTGGCCTCACTCTGCCCCGGGAAGCCTTTGGCACCCCGTGGGCGTGCACCACCTTGCTGCAGAAACCACCCAGGAGGCCCGGGAGGAGGGTGGGAGCCACGTGGCGGGTGTGCGGTGTGTGTAGATGGACTGGACCTGGCTGGGGCCGCCTCTGTTTGAGTTGGGGCAGGAAGGACCCGGTGAATCAAGGCATCCTGAAGACAAGACTCAAACTTGTCGAAGGGTCTCTGAGTCATACCTGCCGAGTATGAAGTCTTTACTGCATGGTTTCACCTAAGATCGTTAGAAGAGTGTAATTAGTCTCTTCTTAGCGCTTGAGGTTTCTCTCCATGTGTGAATGTCCATTAAACAATACAGAGTGTCCCAGCTAGGATGCTTGTACTGCGCCAGAGGTATCCTGGCCGGGAGCATGTTTAGGTAATGATTACGAGGGCTTATGTTACCATAAATTTAAACACTGTTTTGATTCAACGTTTAAGAACTTAGTAAAGTAAAATCAGCTGTTGGTCTCCCTGGCTTATGTGATCTGACGTCTTGCCAAGAGCACCCAAGTGTGCTCCGACAGAACCCATCAGCCCTTTCTGGACTCTTACCCAGCTGTGAAGCAGTTCACTTTGGTACTGGAGCCCTCCTGTGTCAGACGACCTAACGCTGGGTAAAAGGGAGGCAGTGAGGGTTTAAGAGTGACCTCTGGAGACAAACTCGGTCCCTTGCTTAGCCGATGACCTTGGACAAAATACTTTACTTCATTGTGGCTCGGTTTCCCCGCCTATACCTTGGATTACTAAAAATAGGGCCCACTTCAAGGATTATTTCGAGGATTAAATGAGATTTTGCCTGTAGTGTTGAGCAAAGTGGCACATCTGTCACTGAAGAAATGTTGGCCTTTGTTTTTATGGTGGCCTCTAGCCTTTTCCTGGGAAAACAGAAAAAGAAAAGTGGGAGGGAAGGAAGGACTTCCTGGGAGCTGAGATGGCTGCAGGGTGTGAGTCGGGGGCAGCACCCTCGCCACCACCTGTCAGGAGGGAGGAGCTCTGGGGAGGGCTTGGATGCTGGTGGGCTCCTGACCTTGGGCGGGTCACCTGGCTTCTGTAGACCTCAACAAACTCAGCTGTTAAACAGGCATGATGCCAAGTTCCTGTTCCAGTTTTGAGAGCTGTTCCCACCTGGCCAGCCTTTGCCATGTAGGTGCATCCACATGGCTCCCCGGCATCTGGAAGACCAGGCCAGGCCCCGCCCAGGGGCTTCTCTCAGGTGGAGGAGAGTGGCCGGTGGATGAGGAGAGGGCCGCCCTTGGAGTAGAAGTACAGGCATACCTTGGGGACACTACGGGTTCAGTCCAGAGCACCACAGCAAGGCAGATATTACAGTAAAAGCGAATCACGTGAATGTGTTTGGTTTCCCATGCATATAAAAATTGTTTACACTATATTGTGTCATAGCATTATGTCTAAAAAAACTGTACGTACTTTAGTTGAAAAGACTTTGTTGCTTAAAAATGCTAATCATTATGTGAGCCTTCAGCACGGTGTCGTCTTTCTGCTGGAGGTTGCCACAGACCTTCAGTTTGTACGAAACGTGGCGCCGTCAGAGTGCCGTGGAGCAGGGTGTGTCTGTGGCACACAGCGGCTTCCGCGCGGCGAGTGCTCGCGTCTGATCTCATCGTGTGGAACCCTTTACCTGACACCCACAGAAGGCAGGACAGGGGCTGAGCCATAGATGTGTGGACAAAGAACTTTCTGAACTATCAGACACTACTAGGCATTAAAACTATGACTTCATTTTTATAACTGTTTCTCAGAATCCTCTGTAACGATCGTTACATTGTCTTAAGATTATCAACAAGCAAGTGGTGGCAAAGGACAGCTGTTGGCCACGTGGTGCAGTTTCACAGGAAAGAGTCTAACATGCAAGAGGAAATGTTGGTCAGTTTTCGAAGGGAGTAGTAGTTGTCTCTCCTGAAGAAAACTGACTGAGTTCGTATGTAAATACTCATGAGAATTTATCATTTCCTGAGAACAGTATTCTGACTGTCTGAGGTGTTTTAACATGGAGCAGTGGCCAGAAAGTAGTTTGAACCACACAGCCCGGAGGGAGAGTCCAGGGGGGCGGTTTTTGGAAAGTATGGAAGCTCTCTGGTCTCAGTTTCTTTAACTGTAAAGTGGGGATAATCCAGTCCTCTTCCCCAGACTGTTCCGAGTATGAAGCAATCACTGCAGGCCTGGCGTGCAGGATGGTGCCTGGAACATTGAACTGAAACGTGCTAGTTGTTGTCACTGTCATCATCGACTTGATTGGTCAGGATTTCCGTAAAATCTCGAAGCCTGAAGTGGGTGGGTAAGAAGGTGAAGGAAGTGAGTGGAGGAGTGTTCACTCTGCCTCGTAACTTTTATATATGTTTTCAGTGCGCGCTCTCTCTCTCTTTTCTCTCTTAATAGGATTGAATTCTTCTAAAACCAAACTAGAACTCCAGAAGCACCTGACAACGTTAACCAATCAGGAGCAAGCAATGATTTTCGAGGAGGTGCAGGTACAGTACCGGTTTTTATTTTCCATATGGAAAGAAAAGGCAGCAACTGACCTGTGAAGTGTTATTTACAAAAAAAATAGGAAACCAGAGCTGGCACGGCCCCAAGGAGGTGGCCTTGAGTTCCTCTTAGTTTAAGCTTGATCAGCCCCACGGAGGGGCCAGGTCAGAATGGCAGATTCATATCAAGTCTCGGTTTTCGTGTGAAAACAGCAACACCAGGGGAGCACTCCCTTAAAACGAATCTTTTAGAATGAGAGAAATTGTCAAGTGGGACAGAGCCCTGGGCTTGAGTCCCTGAGCACTAGTCTGCTCCACGGGAACCTCTGCCAGTCCCTCTGGGGCCGCAGTTTGGCCCCAAGTGTGGGAGTTGAAGGAGACGATGTTTTGTATAAGAGATCAAACATTAATTGATCCTCCTGTCATATTTTCGTTTTAAAAATAAGTGTAGATGATGCTGTCTACTTAGAACGGTATAATCTATCAAACCTGAACAAAATTCACAAAACAAAAACCAAGCTCATGAGCTTTGTGCATTAAACCTGGAAACGCGCTCTCGTCCTTGCATTTCGACGCCACGCATCTCGCGGAAACCACGCCGCGTGGGCTGGCAGCCTGTGGTCTGTTCGTTATGAATCTGTAATGAGCGCGTCAAAAATTTCTGTCTGATGTAGCCCAGGGCATTTTCTATGGCTTTCTGTACTTTTCTAGGGAGTTAAGCACATCAAAACAAAGAATAAATATCTCTTTTTTGGGGTGATGGGGCAGCAGGGGTCCTGCAAATGAGAGTCATTAAACCACACAAGAAGACTCGAAGCTCCCCCTGCTCATTCAGGGAAAAACCGAACAGTCAGAGCCTATGATCTGTTTTCTGTTTGTGTGAAAAATTAAAGAATTGTCTTTCTTTTAATCACATGTTGAAGTTCTCTTAATCCCCTGCTGTCCTACTGCAGTAGGACGGGCCTATGCTAGTCGAAGGAAAGCATAGGAAGATTTTTAAAAATTTTATTGATAGCTTAGGATGTAATTTCCCTGATTTTTAATTGGCTTTAAATTTTCTTTTTCTTTTTTTTTCCTTCTGAAATCGACTTGCGACATACCACTTGTTCTTTCTTGAAGAATCTTTAGAGCTCTAAGTACACAGTATACTCAGACAGACTTAATGTGCTTTGTACATGGAGTTCATAAATGGGTAAATGGATGGTAATTCGCTTCTGATTATTAATGCATTTACATCGTCACTTTGCGGAGCATCTTTCTAAGCCAGCATAGAAGAGGCGTATTCCTCCCCTGATGTGAATTGTTTTGTTTTGTTTTGTTTTTATAGACAGCACTGTGTTGCTTTCCCTAAAACAGTGTGATGAATCAGGATAGGAAATCCACAAAATATTTTTCTGCAGCAATGAGAAGTATCTGAGGGATGTAATCCTGAGATTTCTTTGACCTGTACAAGTTTTGAGACACAGAGTACATCATGGCAAAGAGACTTTAGAGAAAAGCGGTGACACAGTTTTACTTTAGACAAGTGCATTCAGTTAATGTCCCAGCTCCCTGTGTATTGTCCTAGAAGACTCTGTGATTTTTTTATCAGTATAAAAATCCAGGGAAAGTACTGGGTTAGAAAAGCCAGCTCGGACTTTGTCCTGTCACAAGTGCAGCTTTGCCTTGAATGATACGAATTTGACATGATCTCTTCCTCTGATGGCTTATTGATCATCTTGTTGAATTATTTCCTCAATGACCATTCATGGCTTTTGTGAAACATAAACCAAGTCAACTGGTTCTCCTTTAGGTAGCAGTGCATGCTACTGTGTTTGAAAATCATACATTTCTAAAAGATCATAAAGGAAAAGGTGGCTTTGCAGTGTCATGAGTTCCCTTACAAGCAGAAAGGCTAATAGTTTCCTTTATACAGTCTTTCTTGCAGGGTAGTTTGTTTCTGAAGAACTCGATAATGGCACACTTTCACAAAAAATGTGATTATTATTGAAATTAATGGTGCGTGATTACCTAAATAGTTATTAAAGCATACGTAATCATGTTTTTGTAAATAAATGTTTCATGCAAAATAAGATGCAACCCAAACAGAACTGCAAGGAAACAGAAATGAGTGGCAATCGTGCAGATGACGCTGGAGGTGATCCCGCTGCACACACCTGACTTTGAGCACTCCAAGAGGAGAACTTGTGCCAGCTGGGCATCTGAGCCCATTAACCCTCCTCTTTCTAGGAGGACTCATGATGACACTGCAAAGCCACTTTTTTTTTTCTGTTTATATTGATTTTTGTTTTAAAGAGAGAGGAAGGGAAAGAAAGATAGAAACATCGATCAGCTGCCTCCTGCATGCCCCCCACCTGGGATTGAGCCCACAGCCCAGGCATGTGCCCTGACTGGAATCGAACTGGGACCATGAGATGATACTCAGTCCACTAAGCCACACCAGCCAGGCAACAAAGCCACATTTTTATGATCTGTTTGAAACGTGTGCATTTCAAACCCATCCAACTGGGCCGATGGGATGACTCCTGGGTCCTGCTGCCGCCTCCGGCCGCTGCACAGCTGGCTGAGTGCCGAGTCCACGCGGGTCCTCTTCCGTGCAAGACACTGTCTGGGCGACGTAGGGCTAGTGAAGATAATGTCTCAGAGTCTATTTCTCTTCCTCTGAGTGAGTGCATTTCAGGGAATGACTTCTCCACTCACACTGGGTAGATAAACCAAGTAGATTTACATTCAATAGGTGTCAAAAATGGGTTAAATAACATGACTTTTCACCAGTTAAAGATTAATGGTTAGAGGAGCTATTTTTCAGGGTGAAAAGAATATATCTGCTTTGTTGGACTTTCTGTGGTTTTAAAATGATTTCGTATAGGATTTTATTGTAATTCATTAAAACATGTCAGAGTGTCGTGTCCGGGGGGGCTGCCACTTCCAGTCGTTCCCTCCGCAGACCACAGGCGTCCTCGGGGTTCTGTATTCATCAGTCGGCCTTGGAAGTTTGTTGTTAATTGCTTTTACAACCAATTTATAGGCCCCTCGCAGAGATAAGGTTAAGACACATGCAGCAAAATTGACTTTGTTACTCAACAGGCAAAGAACTGTTTTGTTATTGTTCTTTTCCCAAAAATTGCAGTATTATAGAACCACAGGAAAGCGCACGGATTAATGGTGTGTAATTCTGTGAATTTTTTTAATCCTCACCCGAGGATATTTTTTCATTTATTTTCAGACAGAGTGGGAGGGGGAGAGAGAGGGAGAGAGAAACATTGATGTGGGAGAGACACAGCGATTGGTTGCCTCCCATACAACCCCAACCAGGGCCGGAGGCCCAACTGCAACCGAGGTACGTGCCCTTGACCAGAATTGAACCCACGACTCTTGGTCTGCAGGCAGACGCTGTAACCACGGAACCAAACTGGCCAGAGCTGGTTCAGTGGATTTTTTACGAGGCGAATGTACCTGTGCGCCTGCTCCAAGATGAAGAGCTAGAGCATGTCCAGCCCCTCAGATCCCCTTGGTACTGCCCCAGGTAGCCACCATCCTGACTCCTGACGCCACAGATTAATTTTGAACAAGCAAGTTAATTTTTGACTGCAAAATGTTGTTGTCCAGTTCCCCGTTATACTCTTCAGACTTGTCTCTCTGAGCAGGGAACATCTACAAAAGGAAATCACCTTTAGAAACAATGATTTGCTGCTAGGGAGGATGGTGAAGCCCCAGGGGAGGCAGGGGGAGACCACAGCTTGCTCATCATTTTAACTCAGTGGAATGGGAGCCCCAAGTCGTGTTATTTTACGGAAGGATTCATTCTTGACCTCGTATGACACCATGAAAACATCTCCTCTGCTGACTTCCTCTGTGCTGTTTGACAGGCCCCGTGATGTGGTCTCTGGTGCTGGGCTTCACTTGTTAATGTGCAGCGACTGTGCTCAGCTCTACTCTCATTTTCTGCCCATTCGAATAATTTCTTTCCTGTATATTTTGAGGAATAGAAAGTGTATTAATAATGCTCTTTATTACTGCACTCTTAGCCTTTTCTGATATTTTGAATAAACGATCATGACAAATTTCTTCAAGAAAAAGACATATTTTCTCATGGGAGTAGCCAAAAGTTTGAATTAAAAGATACAAGAGGAAAAAGTGTGGGTCAGCCCTCATGTGCCTGCACCTGCTGAGGGGCTTCTTGTAATTCTTTCCTACTGTGTTTTTCTGGACTTTAAGAAAAATAAAATATACTTTATTCTTTAGAGTGGTTTTAGTTTTACAGTAAATTGGGTGCAAAGTACAGAGTGTTCCCATATAAACTCCCACCTCTGTACCTCCCACTCCAGCCAGCTTCCCCGGTTAATAACATGTTGGTACATTTGTTACCATTGATGATACGTTGTTGTTATTAACTGAAGTCCATAGCTTACCTTAGGGTGGGTTTGATAGTTGTATAATGACATGTATCCACCATTATGGTATCATCCAGAATTGTTTCACTGTGCTCTGCCTGTCCCCACCTCCCCCCACTCCTCCAAACCCCAAGCAACCACTGACCTTTATACTATCTCTGGTTTTGCCTTTTCCACATTGTCGTATAGTTGGAAACATACAGAATATAGTCTTTTCAGATTGGCTTCTTTCACTTAACAATATGCATTTAGGGTTCCTCTAGGTCTTTTCATGGCTTGATAGCTCTATTCTCTTTAGTGCTGAATGATATGTTGTCTGGATGTAACAGTTTATTCATTCACCTACTGAAGGACATCTGGGTTGCTTATAACTTTTGGATCTTATAAACAAAGCTGCTGTAAACATTTATGTGCAGGTTTTTGTGTGGACATAAATTTTCAGCTCATTTGGGAAAATACTAAGCAGTGCAATTGCTGGATCTTACGACAAGAGTATGTTTAGTTTTGTGAAAAACCGCCAGCAGTCTCCGAAAGTGGCTGTACCATTTCCATTCCCACCAGCAACAGTTTCTATAGCTTCCTGAGCTCTTAAACTCACAGATCTCCGTTACCTTCCTAGGCTCAGCAGAGTTAAGTTGAGATTGTGGTACTTGACCAGCAGTTTGCTTTATTGAAGATCCGATGGGACCTTTCTCTGCAGAAATCCACTTGTTGAATAAAACATGTCCAGTTTTATAACATCAAAGTCCATGGCTTAGAATCCAGGTTGAGAGCATCTGTTCTAGCCTCTAAAATATTTAATCCCTAAATCTGAAATTTGGCCCTGACGGGGTGGCTTGGTTGAGCATCATCCCGTGCACCGAAGGTCTCGGCTCCAGTCCCCAGTCAGAGCTCGTGCAGGTGGCAACCGATCGATGTGTCTCTCTCACATTGGTGTCTCTCCCTCTCCCCCAACCTCTAAAATCAATTTTTAAAAATCTGAAATTTGAAAGAATAGCATGTCCTCAATAAAACAACCGCTTCTAATTATTCATTATCTTTTCCCTGAGTAACAGGAACAACTTTTTTTTAAAAAATACGTTTTTTATTTTCATTTTTTAGAGAAAGGAAGGGAGAGGGAGATAGAAACATCAAACATCTTTGTGAGAGAAACATCGGTCCGCTGTCTCCTGCAGGCCCCCTACTGGGGATCAAACCTGCAACCCGGGCAGGAGTTGCCCTGACCAGGAATTGAACCAGCGACCTCTTGGTGTACAGGTCGATGCTCAACACTGAACCACACCGGCCTGGCAACAACTTATTTTTTAAAATGACCTTTTTCTTTAAGAGGCAGAATGTCAGAAGGCCTGGGTTAGTGCTGCCTTTGCTTCCAAAGCCTGTGACATGAGGGTAAAATCGTTGTTCCGGTGATAGCTGGGGGAGGAGGTTGCCAACAGCGTCATGGTCCCAGACGCAGATGCTTGTGTAGTTAACCCAACTTTGTTTGAAAGGGCAGGCTAGAAGTTTGGGGTAGCGAGCGAGGTCCAGGAGCAGGGCAGTGGATACTTGTCCGTCTAAAAAGGACATATTTCCAATGTTCTAGACTAGAAGTTTTGTGTATCTCCAGAGTAATTAAATTTTGTTCTCTTCATATTCTTAGAAAAGAAACCATTAAATTAGACGGTCTTCTGAAAATGAACTCTGACTGATCATTTTAAATCCAAAGGATAGGGGAGTTGGAGGAGACCTCGGAGCTTGTGTTGTGTACCAGCTTCGCTTGGACACGCGAGGAAGCTAAGATCGAGTGACGCCTTCGGCCACACGTCTAGGCAGCACCTGGGACCTCCACGTCCTCATTTCTGCTCCCGTGAATATACAAGACGTGGACAGAAATTTTAAATAGAAAGAAAACGAATTGAGTCTGTGCCATGAAATTTGTGTGCAAGTGACGTGGCGGGGCTCCCAGAAGGAGCTGCGTGACGAGCACTTTTGACGTGTGGAGACATGACCCTGAGCCCAGTTCCTCCCTCCCCCCCCACCCCCCCCCCACCATGGAGCTTATCAACATGTAGCCACCATGGCTCTTGACCTCTGGGTGTTTACACAGATTTTGTTCTTTTCTGTTTTCAAGACTGTTTATTTATTAAATATTTCGACTATGCCTCTATCTGATGTGAAGTATTTATTTTAGGTATAAGAACGTCAGAGGTCAAAGCTAAATCTGGCCCACTGGCGAGCTCTGCTGTGTGTTTCCTTTGAAAAGTTATCTCCACTTTTGGGATCAGTGGTGCCTCCTAGTGAGGTGATCGGGTAAAAACACTAGATAATGGATGGATGGCCCCTGTTCGCATTTCCAAAGGGATGTGGTTTAGCAGTTTTGTTGACAATGAAAAATAAATGGAACATCTTCTTCTTCTTCTTCTTCTTTTTTTTAAATAAAGAAATTGAGACCAAGAAATGAGCAGCGAGAGAATGAATTGGTTATTTCTTTCCTGAGATGTTTGTATGAAGAGAAGCAAAAGGTCCACATCCACATTGGGGAGATAAAGCAGGTAAGGCATGTTTTTCTCTTCTTATATTTTTACAGGACAATGTGTAAAAGAGAGTCTTGAGGACTCTATGAAGCTCTGAAACCTGTTTTCATCCTCGTATTTTATTTTCATTTGTTACACATCTAAGGAAGATTTGGGGATATTCAGACTGTGCTGGAGAAGGTGCGAAGTTCTGCGTTGTCACGGGTGGAGAAGTCGGTCTCACAGGAGGCCTGTGCTGGGCATCCAGAGTGAAGGTTCCGAGTAAACACTGCCCGTCTCTGTCCCCTCCCCCATTCTCCCTGGTAAAGTGGGAATGACGTTCTGTAGCCACCTTCTGAACTGCATAAAGTGCCTGCAGGTTCTTTGTGACATAAAGACTGTGGTTGTGAGCCAGCCCTGCTGAAGGGTCAGGAGGTTGGAGAACCCGGTTACGTGCTATCCAGACACGGGGCTTCCATGCCCAGTTCACACGAAGGAGGCGCCCAGTCTGCCTGCCTCCTGCTGCCGGCCACGGGCCTGGTCGGCTCTGCCGTGTGAGGAGTGTGTGGCAGGAGCTGGGCTGCCTGCAGGTCTGTGTCTCTGAGGAGCTTCTCGTTTGGGATTCAGTCCGCACAGTGCCACGGGCCATTCTTCTGTGACTTTTGGACTCTGTGTCAGTCAGTTCATAATAACCAGTATAACTTCAAAACATGCATTTTATATTTGTTTAAATTACCTGTAGGGCAGTAACTCTAGAGAAAAATCAGTGAAGGATGGTTAAAAAATATTGAACTTTCCAAAAGTTCTAAAGGTGCTTTAATGACCTGTCGTGTGCCCTGGCCCCATAAACAGCCTCTGCTTTTCGGGTAACCTCGCCATGATGCAGTTTCACTGGTAGGCACACGTAGCGACCCTCCCCACTGAGATTCTACCTCCCCGTCCGCTTCGGTAATCCCGTGCCTTCCCTGAACTCTCAGCGCTCACGGACAGTGTCCGGCAGTGTGTTAGTCTCACCGGCCAACGACAGGCTCCCTCAGCAGTGGTGGCAACGCGGGTACCTTGCCTGCGTTTGGGACCTCTGGTCTTTGTGGTTGGCGTTGCTCCCTTCCCGGCCTGCCCCTCTCAGCCGGAGGGGGAGTTCTGTGCTGCTCCGTCCACGTCTGGATGGGCCGCCCGTCGAAGTTTTCAGTTAATTCTCTAGTTCCCTCTCAACCTACGTTCCTATTTCCATTGCTTCCCCCTCCCCTATTTTTTGCCACTGATAGTTTTTCCTTGTTCTGATTTTCCCCCTAACTTGTTCCAACAGGAAATTGATCATTTTGAAATGGTTTGTAGCTGCTAGAGGGTAATAAAGCACTTAGAGTGGATGGAAAGTTTTGACCTAAGTGCCAACTCATTTTTCTGGAATAGAGTCGTATGTTTATGATTTGGGCATAGATGAGTCCAGTGGAGAAACATGTTTAATGTTTTTTCCCGTGTGAAAACGTCTGATAACTGAAAAGAGACCAAGTCTCACTGCACGGAGCTGGTGCCTGGGCCGTACTTTCTCTCGAAGTTTCCGAACATTCTGTCACCCGGGAGGCTCTCGTCTCGCCTGTAAAGAAGAGGCCCGGATCCCCAGATGTGGTCCCCGGCATCATCGTCGAAGGAGAAACTGCTGGGTGTTTATTTTAAAATAAACAAGGCATAGGTTATTTTCTAAATGCAAATTACGTTCTAACCATGCATTATTTTCTAAATGCGAATTATTTTCCAATTATATTTGAATTGTGATGATAGACATAGAAAACATCTCATTAGATGGGCGAGGAGAGGAAGCATTGCGTGCATGGAAATTCTTACGGCTGGGTATAAAGAGAGAAAAATGCAAGTGCAGATTGTCTTCTGTCTATGTAGGATCTTCTACATACTACTAGACTCTTAGCCAATATTTTCTTCACGTATCCAAACAACCCATTCTAAATACTTATGTTTCGTGAAAACATTTTTTACGAGTCTGATAATAACCTACCCAAGGCCACAGCTTCTTAACTTTGTGGGTGAACGGGTATTGGGTCAAAGACATGCCCGCCAGGGCCCCGTGTGGCTAGTTCCCTTTGCTCGGAGGGCTGCTGTGGGTCAGGACAGGCTCTTGTTCTTGGTAAATGATTGCACAGGACCAGTTGCAGCTAGTAAGGCACCTGCCGTTGTGCGTGATGCTCACCAGGCACTTAGAATTTGTTGAGTGCGTCGGGAACTAAGGCGTACGTTTCTCATGGGGCTGCCTGGTGGTCGTTGCTCATGCATTCACTCCTCAGCAAGCAAGTGCGACTTGTCCAGAGTATGCTCGTGTACTCAGTGGAAGCACCGTGATAGGTGGTAGCCCCTGGTCTTGAAGTGCTGAGCTAAGTCATCTTCTAAATGCATGTGCTAATTCTCGTGCAAGGAGATCTCTGGATGCCCAGACAAAGCCAAATGTAGCCCTTACCAGAACTGTTTCTCTTCTATGCCTTGAGAAATGTACAACATTCATTGGTGAATCAGGATTTCATTCTGTCAAAGGAGAGGTAAGGTCTTTGACCAGCACACAACTGAATAAAGTTTAAAAGTTTAATTGCAACAGGAATCAGGGGAAGACAAATTAAGAGATCACCTGTACCCATGAAATTGGTAGAAATTTAAAAATCTGACAGTACCAGGTCCAGGCGAACTCTCATATGCTGATCCTGGGAATATGAATTGGTACCATTTAGGGGAGAGAAATTTGACAGCATCTGGTAGAGCTGAAGGTGCGTAGACCCAGTGACCCAGCAAGGGCATTCCTAACTACCTTGTAAAAACGTTCACGTGTGTGATAAGGAGCTACGTACGGGAGAGGATACTGCAGTCTGCTTTGTAAAAGCAAAAAAGGGAATGAATCAGTGTTTGACAACAGCAATATGAACACACTTTTATGATTATACATTCTGATTGACGTGCGTGGATCAGCACCTTTGTCAACATGGATAAATCTCAAAAACAATATTGAAAGAAAAATGCTAACTACAGAAGGGTTTACAGAATGATGCATTCATTTAATGTTTTGCCCTGGCTGGTTTGGTTCAGTGGTTAGAGCGTTAGCCCATGGTCCAGAGACCTGGGTTCGGTTTCCACTAAGGGCACGTACCTCGGTTGTAGTTTGTCCCCAGCTCCGGTTGGGGTCGTGTGGGTGGCGGCCAGTCGATGTGTCTCTCTCACATCAATGTTTCTCTCTCTCTTCCTCTCGCTCTATCTGAAGATGAATGCAGAAATGTCCTTGGGTGAGGCTAAAAAAATAAAGTTTCAACTGTACGTAAACTAACATACATGTGTTATGGATACATACATATGTCAGAGTATAAAAATGTGGGTTGATATGATAAATACCAAATTCAGAAGAGGAGTTATTTCTGCAGAGAGAGAAAGGAGAGCAGTTCAACTATGTCTGTTATGTTTTTCTATTAAAAGTAGGAAACAGAATAGCTAGTAATGATACTTATTGAGAGTAAGGTGTGTTTTAAATGCTTTACTGTATAGTAACATATTTAATCTCATAACTGCTCTGTGAGGAAAGTTTGTTGGGCACCCTGAGTCTGCAGGTAGAGGAACTGCCAAGGGTGTCAGGTAATAATAACCTGCCCAAGGCCACGTAGCTGCGGAAAACAAAGAAGCGTGTCCCCTGGGCATTGACTTCAGAGCCCATGCCCCTGACTGTTCTCAACACCCTCCAGTGTTAACTTGGCCAAAGGGGCGTCAGAGTTGTGTATCAGGTAAGAATACCTAGAAGTAGGGAGCGATTTACGCATTTTGTAGGTTGTGTTTTTTTAAAAAATATGCCTCTTTGTTAATAAGTAACATTAAACTTCATTTAGTGGTTGGCAAACAAACTCGGTGATGTTGTCAGTTTCGTATTGTGGTCAGTGAAGGCAGAGAAGCCTGGTGGCGGAGGAGTGACGGAAACAGCGGGCGGGACAAGACAGCGCCCTGGAGAAAGCAGTGAAGAGATTAGCAGAGGCAAAGGGAAGGGATTCTTCAGCTGGTGCTTTCCTGCCTTTACTTGTTTTAATCTCACATCACAGCTTTACGATTAGATCTTGAGGTTGGGCTCAGTTCACAGAAGAGGAAACCGCAGCCCAGAGAAAGTAAGTAACGTGCACAAGACCAGTTAGTGAATGACGGATCGCCGATGCGACTGCAGAGCACAGGCTCTTAACTGCTTCTGCTGATTGGCGTGCAAGCACATTTCTTTCTTTCTTTTTTTTTTTTTTGTACGTGCCCCCAGCGGGAACCGAACCCGGGACTCTCTGGTCTGCAGGCCGACGCTCCAATCGCTGAGCCAAACCGGCCAGGGCCAAACACCATTTCTTTATTTCATTTGAGGCAAAACTATTTCCTTGACTTGCAGCCCTGTCACTGAGGAGCAGGTGAGATGATAGAATAATGGTCTGGGGTCAAAAAGATGCATCCAAGAGATTTTTTATCCCTTTAAAAAGGAAAAAATAGCTCCCGAAGGTTCGGTGAGATCACAGAGTACCTGTGTTCCTCCGGGACCCTTTCCCTGTCACTCTGCTCCTGTCTTCCTCTCTCTCTGTTTTCTTCACTCTCTTTCCCCCTCCTCTTTCCCGTCGTCTTCTCTCCCACCCCACTAGCTCTCCTCTCTCCCTCGCTCCTTACTCCTCCGCATCCACGCAGGGGCTCTGAACCCCTCCCTCCAGCTGCACCCACCGGAGCTGCAGTGTCTGTTCTGTGCCAGCCCAGGAGCTGATATTTGGAGCTTTCCTTACAGGGAATAATCAAGAACCCACATGGAAAAAAAGAAAAGAAAGGAAGTTGTAAGTGACACAACGTTTTATTTCATTTTTTAGACAACCCAGATTGCAGCAGAGACTCTTGGAAGTGAATTACCATCTACTGCCACTCGATTTAAGCTTGATATGCTGAAAAACAAAGCGAAGAGATCTTTAACAGAGTCTCTGGAAAGTATTTTGTCCCGGGTAAGTAGCATACTTTTTCCTAATTTAAGTTAAATCACCTTTTAAATGAGTATAAGATTCGACTCATTGCTGTTATTCTATCAGTGCTCATCATAAAGCATAGAAGGTGAAATCTCTTTTAACGTCTTCTCAATCTTGCAACAATGTTATCTACACATTAAATTCAGTTCTTAACTTGGCCCGGATTAAACTCATTTTTTGTATTATGTTATATATAATCCCGTGGAAGGTTTTGTCTCTCTCCAGAATGTGATTCGTTGGCTAGTTCCTATAAGGGCACAGATTAGATGTACCCAGTGTGGGTTCCATTCCTTGTGCCACTAGGTACAACGTAAATATCCAGTTACTCTCAGCTGCTCTTGTTTTGTGCCTGGAACTCTCTGTAGCAGGGTCAGAAAACTACAGCCATCAGGCCAAACACCACCCACCTCCTGTTTTTGTAAATGAAGGTTTACTGAAGCACAGCCACATCCATTCATTCGCCGGTTGTCCGAGGCTGCTTTTGTGCAGAGTTGAGTAGTTGCCATGGACACCACATGCTCTACCCCCCCCCCCCCAAAAGCTCAAGAGATTTGTTTTCTAGCCCTTTACAGAAAAGTTTGTGGGCTGCAACTCGGTAGGAATGGAAAGCATACACAGGCACCGATCTGGGAGTTCTGTAAGAAGTTAAAGAACGAGTGTGAAAACCCTTGATGGCACTTTTCAGAAATCCAAGTTTGATAACCTTGCTGGAGCTTACAACATTTTATAGTTCTTTGTTGGTTTCCTGACACACTCCATTTAAAAAGCATGTTGTGTTTTTTTAGTTAAAGTGCATTTTGTTTGAAGATGTTTCTGAGAATTTTGCAGCATCCTTAGAGATAATTAAAAACAGTCCATTTACAAAGCGGGGGCTGGGGGTGAGGGGTGGCTGTCTGAGAGACCCATGTGGACAGAAATGTTTTGTGTCATACAGCTGGCAGGTTATGGTGACGGTTCTCGCTTCTTCCGGCCTATTACACTTGCTAGTTGACTAATCCACAAGGTTTTCTGGAGTATTTAGGTTGGTGTGTTATTAAAAAAACAAAAAGACAGAAATGTTAGTTGTCTTAAGGGACACATGTGCTCAGCACCATTTCTCAAGAGATGCATTTTTCCTGAGTTTGTTTAAATAAACCAAGATGTTTCTAGCTGATGCCTTTGCGGAAGCCTCAGGGATCATACCTCGACTGTTTTCTCTTTATGCAGGGTAATAAAGCCAGAGGCCTTCCAGAACATTCTGCCAGCCTGGATCTGGACAGCTCTGTGTCTAGCACATTAAGTAACATCAACAAGGTAAGCACATTTTTCTCTATATGAATCCCTTAAGAAGCCAGCCAATAGCCCAGCCAGTGTGGCTCAGTGAATTGAGCATTGTCCCATGGACTGAGAGGTCCTGGTTCAGTTTCTGGGCAGGGCACATGCCTGGGTTGCAGACTCGATCCCCAGTAGGGGCCATGCAAAAGGCAGCCAATCAGTGTTTCTCACATTGATGTTTCTCTCTCTTTCCTTTCCTCTCTTTCTAAAAAGTCAATTAAAAAAATTAAAAACAAAAAAAACAAACAGCAAATAGTTCTTGCTCACCTCCTACCTACAGGGCCTATCAAAGGGACAAAGAGGCCTCATATCTCCCTCATGAAAACTTTGGTGCTTCCAGACTTCATGATACCGTGGAGGGCTGGCCATACAGTTGCACCATAACACAAAAGTTTTACATGACCAAGGAGATGGCCATTCTGTATACAAAGAAACGAGATCACAGATTCAGACCACTAAGATCTGATTTATCACAAAATCACTAATGGGTTCTTTCCCAAGTAGCTTTTCCATTGTTAAAAATAACTGAAATTGGGCAACCCTCAGAGGTGGATTTGTGAATCCTGAGAAGTATGCAACTTAAATTCCTTGAACTTAACTTTAGCCTCCAGCTGGCCCTGTGATTATGATTAAACATGACCGTTCTATTTAAATAAGCAGCTAGTCCAGCCCTCGCACCTGCCACCAGGCACAGCGTTGTGACAATGACCAAGGTGGTGGTTCTTTTTGCTCACAAACCTGTGTCTTTATTTTAATTTATTGATTTCTAGACATTTAAGCACATTTAAATTTGGTTAGTTCAACTTTTCAACAACTAAAATGTGGATTTCGGATTTTGTGCCGAGGAGGTCAGCTGTCCTGCTACAGAGGGCTTCAGGTTTTTGTGGCCAGCTCCTTGCCACAGCGACTCCAAGTTTTCCCAAGGTCACTACTGGGCTTGTGGCTTTCAAAGTTTTTAGATCATAACCAACAGTAAGGAATGCATTTAATATTGCGAAATGGTTCACAAACACATACATACACACTCACAGAATTAAAATTTCACAAAACACTGTGTATTGTAACCCAGCGTGCGATATATACTGGTACGCTCTCTGCTATTTAGAAAATGTCCGTGACGGAGCACTAAGTCGGTATCACTGCCTACCAGCGTGTTTCCGTCTGCAGTTGGAGAAGGGTTACCTTAGACGGGTGCTTCTCCAAGTCTGAGCGCGTTTAATGGGGCCTGATTAAAATGCACACTCCGACCCCGCAGGCCTGCCAGGAGGCCCGAAACCCTGAGCTTCCGACAGGCTTCGAGGTGATGTCGATGCTGTGGTCTGGGAACCCACTGTGGGGAGTGAGACTTCTGAATATGATTTTTTTTATCCTCACCCGAGGACATTTTTTTGTTTTTTGTTCAGATAGAGTGGGAGGGAGAGAGAGGAACAGAGAGAGAGAGAGAGAAACATCAACAGGAAAGGGACACATTGAGTGGTTGCCACCCACATGACCCAACCAGGGCCGGGGACAAACTGCAACCGAGCTACATGCCCTTAGCGGGAACCGAACCCAGGTCTCTGGACCACAGGCCGACACTCTAACTGCTGAGCCAATCCGGCCAGGGCTGAATATGATTTTCTAAGTTAAAATCTAGTGGAATGTGGCATCATCGGCCTCCATTCACTACGTACTGATTCTGCCTGGTGATTCACTTCAAGTTTGGAAACATAGTTTCTCTGCTGTGTACAGATGACTGGACAGAGCTTGTGCAGGAACTTGTGTGGTAGGAGACAGGTGACAGGTTCACAGGTGAGAACAGCTTCAAGCAGTCGGGGAGGAGCCCTGGCAGTTTGAATAAGTGATAGTGGTAACTTACTGGTGACAGGAGCGAGGGAAGGGGAGTTGTTTTTGGTCATTGGAACCAGAGAAAGCTTGGGGAGGGGGCCAATGATGCTTCTGACTGGAGTCTCGAAGAACGTGTAGGAGGTGGACCTGTGCACGTGGGCAGGGAAGATGGTGTTTCAGGTAGACCACCGCGAATAAAGGTGCTGTGAAGAAATCCATGCCACTCAAGTGGCTTTTCCAATAAGTCTCGCTTGTGTTTTTATTCTCCAAAACACACATCGAAGAATGTACACACAGCTTGAACTTCTAGGGTAATTCTAAGAGAAATGCAGCTTTTCAGAAGCCACCTGTGTGTATTGTGTGTGTGAGTATCTTCCTGTGCACTTCTTTATGTCTTGTTTTCATCCTGAGGTTGAAAATGGTTGTGAAGTGTGATGCATTTCATGCAGTTGGATCTCTTCCAGTAAATGTGTCATCTAGGAGTTGCAAAGAAGCTGAACATCTGAGGGGCCCATTTAGGGTGTAAATTTAAGCTAAGGATTAGTTAGCCCTTTCACAGGACTTGGGAGAATTGAGGTGAGCAGGTCTTCATGGTAGAGATAGTTTGCTGTGAAGCATTAGGCAAATTTTTAAATCCTTGCATGCAAAGGATTGTAGAGCCCTGGCTGGTTTGGCTCAGCGGTTAGAGTGTCGGCCTGCGGTCTGGAGAGACCCGGGTTCGGTACCTGCTAAGGGCATGTACCTCAGTTGCAGTTTTTCCCCCGGCCCTGGTTGAGTCGTGTGGGTGGCAACCACGCAATGTGTCCCTTTCACCCTTTCACGTCGATGTTTTTCTCTCTCTATCTCCCTCCCACTCTATCTGAACAAAATATTGAAAAATGTCCTTGGACGAGGATAAAAAAAAAGAAAAAGATCTTGGGAACTGTGGAGTCTAGAAGAATAAAAAAATTTAGTTTTGTTTAAAATATCATTTCATAGTATGTTGGGAATTAAGCTTTTCCTATCTAATTCCTACACAATTAAGTGTATATAATCTCTCCCCTCAATAAACATAAATTTAATTTCTCAAAATTAAAATCCTTAGTCCCTGTCATCTAAAAGGCACTCAACTATATAGCAAAAGAACAGAAAGAATTTAGATTCTCCAGATCACCATTAGATGCATTAATTCTTTTTTACTCTTTTCCTGTTGATTTGTTTGTCCCTTCTGGCAATTTCAGTAGGGACAAGCTGCTACACCTCCTCTTATATTTTTTTATTTGAGAAAAATATATTGGCAACCAACCAAGTCCTGGGTGTGCAGGGCTAATACGCATTGGTTTGAGTGGTGGTAGTTCATGTCTTTGAAAAAGTATGTATCTTAAACATCTACAGTATTAAAATATTGTCATGATTCTCAACAAATGTTTGAGTACCCACTCAGTAAGTTCCTTGAGTACCTAACAAAACAATAACGTATATTTGTATTACATTTTACAGTGAACAAAGTACTTTCAGTGATATTCTCCTGCTTCTGAAACCCAGTGAGATTAATGTTTACTATACAGATGAGGAAGTTGCAGAAAGAAGTTAAGGGATTGGCCCGGAATTGCCGAAATAAGTGCCTAGGGAGAGTTTTTCCATATTTTAAGAATAATCGAGGATATACTTTTTAACCCTCAAGATTACACGATCGATCAGATTCAGAGAGAGCCTTAAGAATGTGGCTGGAACATGTATGGACACACTTGGCAGAGAGAAGGAACTTGATTTGTTTAAACAGGGTAGACAAGTTATCCAACCCTCATGACACTTTTTCTAAGCAATGGTGCAGTTGTGTTTTCTAGAGGGAGGGAACTGCTTGGGTTGGCTTGGGACAGGTCTGTGTCATGGCTCACGTCCCTCACGCTTGCTTTGGGCAGTTTCCCATTTGTCCCCCAAACTAGCATTTTGTCTCTGACAAGCAGGCATTTAAAGGGCCTTTATTTCCTTATGTACTTTGGTGGCCTCCAGATGGCATTATAATCAGATGTGCCTTTATATTGAAATGTTTTCCTGCTACTGGGATCAGAGATGTGTGAACCCCACAAACTTTCTGTGACACGTCTGATGCGCTGTCTGTCTGCCACCAGGAGCCCCCTGTGTGTGACAAGCAGGCCGTGCCCGTGTCTGAGAGTGGCGTTGGGTGCCTCAGCTCCTCAGACGACCTGTCCAGCGACTCGGAGAGCCGCGCCTCAGAAGAGCCCGCCCTGCTGTCCCCGCAGCAGGGCTTCAGGAGGCGTGCGAACACCCTCAGTCACTTCCCCGTGGAAGGCCAGCAGCCTGCGGAGCCCGCCCTGGGGTCTCCGGGGGTCTCCCAAAGGAAACTTATGAGGTACCACTCAGTGAGCACAGAGACGCCTCGTGAACGAAAGTAAGATTTGTTTAAAATATACATGTGTTGTATAGAATAGCGGGGGCGTACCTGTTACTGACCAGGAGTGTGCATCCCAGGTATGTGTATTGGCTCAGAGAGAACTCCGGGTCCAGTTTGACTCGGCTCAGAGAGACGGGCTTGGAGCAGTGACACGCCCCTCCCCCTCCCGCCTTGGGAAGGCAGGTGTCAGGTTCTTGTTGCTTACTGAAGTATCCAGTGCAAGTGTCATGCCCCCTGCTCGACAGGGTGCGAGGCGGTCCCGACTCTGCATCTTAGCTTCTGGCTGTGAGGAGAAGTGGGGGGCGCAGCAGGGGAGTGTGCTCACGGGAAAACCTGCAACACTTCCTCCGTGGGGCCGAGGCGTGGTGGTTCGCACCCGGCAGAGGGTGGGAGGCCGCGTGGCCGCCTGTGCCGGCCACAGTGGCCTGGGGCCCCGACCTAGCTCCGTCCTGCACAGGCTGTGACCTGGGCAAACATGCTTAACTCTCTGACAAAATTGGAATAGAGGTTTTCTAAAATCTCCTTGGATGTGAGAATTCTAGAGTCTTCTAACAGGATTTACTAATTTTTAATAATTGGGCTCTAACTAGAATTTCCTGGTTACAGAGACAGGTAAGTAATATAGTAACAGCAGGTCTCTCTGTTCCTTCTGGGGTCCCTTGGCAATGCATTTGACCCTGAGTGTCAGAGATCATAAGTGGACAGAATTATCTCGAACAATAACTTTAAAAAACCTTTTACAATCCCTCACCTCATAAACACGAAGTAGGGTCACACCTAGATACAGTCTGCCTCCCTGAGCAGCCACAACAGAAGCCACAGGACGTGTGTTGGTGCAGGTCCTGCACGGATCATGGACAGTGCACATGTGTGGGGGGAATGTTCCCAGTGAAGAAGTGACAGCGTCAATAGTCCTCCAGCGACAGGGCAGAGCCTCTTGGCCTTGCTTTCAGTCAGCCGTTGAAAGAGCTGTGGTTCTTTGGAATTCAGCTGGATCACCGTGGTCCCCAAGCAGGACCTGCTTCAAAAGCTAGTATTTAATAATAAGACACTTTATTTTAGAGACGAGCGCAGTCTGAGGCCTTATGAGGTTCTTGTCATGTTTCTTGAAGCCCTGTGTACACACTAGGTACTTCTACTCTGCGTCTCCCCCGTGTTCCCACCCTCGGTTTTTGGCACTTTCAGGGACAACGCACACATTCCTGTCTAGAGATTCCTCGTTCTCTCCCTAAGCCTGGTGGTTCACACAAGGCAGAGGGGGTGGGAATCAGTCTCCCTGCCAGTGTTTCCCTTCTCCCCGAAGACTGCAGCTTCCTAACGGATCCTGCTGGACCTAGGTGCTGAGAGGGACGGGGACAGGGAAATGTCCCCCTCTCTCTCCTACCCATTTTGCTTTCTGCCCCCCATATGAACTCTTCTCATTTACGTCCAGGAAATGAGACATAGCTGTTATTGTTCATTTTCAAGAGAGAGATATTTTAAACTGGATTTCGTTTTGCTTTTTTTTGCTTTTGTTTCAATTAAAAAAATGTTTTTCCTGTCATTTCCTAAAAGGGGAATAGAGGAAACGGTACTAATGGGTGCGGAGATATGTGGGAAGTGATCAGGAGTGACCTTTCACGACAGCCTTTCTTTACGAAACGCCACCTCTGCCCGTGAGAACTGGGGCGCAGACGCGAAGTGCCGATCCTGTGCCTAGTGAGACACCAACGTCTTGCCCGCTGCCTCTCGCGTCCTCCAGGTCCCCTCTCTGCTCTAAACCCCCGTGCTTTCTCTCTACTTGCTGTTTAGTGGGAGTCATCCACCCGTTGGCGAGTCTCAAAGTTGCTCAGGTCCTTCAGCTCCTGCTCCACCTCGTGTTAACCCCTCCGCCTCCTCACCAAATTTTTTTAAGTACCTAAAACATAACTCGAGTGGAGAACAAAGTGGGAATGCCGTGCCAAAGAGGTGAGCACGCTCGCATGGCCCGTTCGGTGTCGTCTGTCTTCCTGGGAGGGTCACAGAGAGGACATGCTGCATGGAGGAAACCTGGGCCCCGCGCGTGTGTGTGTGCGCGTGTGTGTCGGCTTTTGGTTTTATTATTTTCAGTCTATCATTCGAACTGACTTAATTTTACTGTTGATTAATTTTCTCAAAATTAAGTTGAATTCAAAATTAATTTTCTCAAAAGGCCTTGATGGCAAGCCATTTTTATATACCTGTTTTCGCATTCCCCTTTTCCAGTGTACACACACACACAGACACTGCGGTTTGTGCCACATCAGACACAACCTCATTAACCTAGGAAAATTGTTTTCCCGTTTGAAAGGAAGAGTCATTTTGGAAGATGGACTGATTTTTTTGTTTGTTTTGTTTTGTTTTGATTTTCTTTTATTCTGGTAAGAGTGCTTATCAAGAGATCTACGCTTTTAACAAATATTTAAAGTGCACCACGCAGTATTTTGAACTCTGGGCACAATATTGCATGGCAGATCTTGAGAATGTATTCATCTGCATAACTAAATGGACTAATGTTTTTAAATGAAGTCATTGGTTCAGTGTATTTTAAATGGACCTTTATTAACTGAAAAATTAAAGTTAAATCTCACTTGTAAACTATTTTTAATTTCTTACCTGGTTTACTTTTTCTTAGCATTAGAACTAAAATGTTTCTTTTATTTTGAAGCTAGTGTTTTATACTTTGTATGTTTGTATTTCTTTATCCTAAACTCTCTTTTCAACCAAACTCTCAGCATCTCCTACCGTAATGCCCTGCGGAAAAAACTTCATTCCTCTTCCTCTGTGCCAAATTTTCTAAAATTTCTGGCTCCTGTAGATGAAAATAACACCTCTGACTTTATGAACACAAAAAGGTAGGGTTTAATTTAGATACATCAAGCCTGGGTAGAAGTGTTGAACTGTTAGATATACAGGGATTTTCAGCTGTTCTTTCGCCACCTAAAAAAAAACCATTTTAGTTAAATCTATTGTATCTTCTTCCTGGGACTTTTTTCTTACTGAATGCCATTTTTAAAAACGTACTGTCAGTTTATTAATATGCTGTTGTTTTCGGGAGACTGAAGGTGTTGACCAGTGCTCTACGTGACGGCAGTGTTCTTGGAGAGCGAGCTTGGGCTGGTGTCTGACCTGAGGGTGCAGGTCACTGCTCAGTGTGAGCATGTGTTCAGGGTGGGCACAGGTGGGGTTACAGTTGTGGGTACCGGAAACCCAAGTTTATTCTTGTACTATTATTTATTCATTATTGTATTATTTTTCGTACGAGCAGCTGTAAGCCTGCTTTTGCCCACTGCTGTATTCATGCCTCAGGTGTAAATTATAAGGGCTTCCCCCGTCATCCTGTGACTAGGAAGAACGTTCATGATTAGATGTCACTGATTATATTGATAAAAAAGTGCTTTAGGGTTGCTGGCCCACGTTGTGCTTAATTTAACTTCTGTAATTATCTACTCATATTTTTTCATACAGAGAGAATTTACAATATAGTGCTTTGTTTATAAAACAAAAAGTTAAGCTAAAATACTGGTTTATAGCTCCTCACCAGTCACATATAAATCAGTATCTTGTCATTTTAGGGACTTTGAGTCCAAAGCCAACCACCTCGGCGACACAGGTGGGACCCCTGTGAAGACCCGGAGACACTCGTGGAGGCAGCAGATATTCCTCCGCGTGGCGACCCCGCAGAAAGGCTGCGACTCTCCCAGCAGATTCGAAGGTAAGGCCCACCCCGCAGACGCACGGGGCTCTGCGCGGGTTCTGCCTGCAACAGGTCCCCGGGGGAGGAGCCGGCCATGGGATTTCCGCCGCAGCCATCTCCTGAGTGTAAAGCTCCCCGGGTAAGAAGCTCAAATGACAGTGCCTGTCACTATTGCCAGAGGATCCCCAGTTCCACCGAAACCTGTAGGGGACTCGGCGCTACCACTTGTGTTAAAAATGACATCTCCGCCGAGCGTCTGTGATCACTCTCCACCCTGCCCGTGTGGCTGTTGAGGGGCTCAGCCTGACACCCCCCCTTCCTCCTTCCCTTCTCTGCAGTCTACGCGTAGGCTTTCCTGCCACCTTCGGTGCTGTGGTTCTAGATGCCCCAGTCCCGGTGGGTGCTCTGGCTGCGGTCAGTCGCCGTCACTCTGTCCGGTGTCAGGGGAGGACTGTCTTGTGTCCTCTCATCCTTCCCGTGCCCCTATAGAAATGGAGGGTATGTTGAAGTCTGCCTTTAGGCCTTCTTATGTTGAGTTACATTGTAAAAAAGTGAATTTAAAGGCACTCCTTTGGCCAAAATCATTCTTTTTTTTCCTGCGCAGTGATATCATAAATTTTGAACAGTGTTTACTTTCTTTAATGTTCATTAATCAAAAACCATTTTTTTCCTTAAAAAAGCAAAGTAAAAGAGTAGACCTCCAAAGATTACTTGAGTTCCTCAGATTGTTTGTGGTGTGGATTCACTCTTGTCCCTGGACACGCATCTGTGTGTCTCTTAGGAAGCAGCATAGGCCAATCTGGGGATTTCAGACTCAGTCCCATTCCTGAGGGAGGTGGCACTGTTGGAGGACTGTCCCCTCCCCCCTCTGCCCTCGCTTTCCTCCCCTTTCTTGTTTCTCTGTCTCTCGCTCCCTTCCTTTCCCTCCCTCCCCCAGAGTTCTTATTAATATTTAATTTTAAATAATGAGTCCCCTGCCAAATTAAACAAGAGCCTGGTTTGGGCTCAGCTGGTTTTGTGACATAAATCATAAAACTTCACCGACACTTAGTTCTTTTAATCGTAAAAAGTTACAGTAATCGTAAAAACAGTTACAGTAACGTTGGCTCTTCCTCTGGTGGAATTACAGTAAGTTACACAGGTGCAAGTGCTTTGGGAACCTGAAGACACGTGCGATGTGAGGCGGGGACATTGTTTCGGTTCCTTGGTGGAGACTGGGGCGGGGCAGGCTCCTGTCCCCCGAGCTGTGGGCGCCCAGGAGCCGTGTGGAGGAACACTAGGAAGACAGTGTTTGTACAGTCAGTGAGATTTCAAACGTTTTTCAGTAAACTGAGTTATTTCCATCTGTGTCCATTTAGAAAGTTTAGTCATAAGGCTTCATTTTTATGTTGGAGAAAACAGTGGCCTGCGTTGTGAGACCCATTTTCCTCCGTTTTGAACTCCAAGGCCAGGTCCGCTAGGGTGGGGACTGCGGAAAGTACCAGGCCCTTCCCCTGGGCAGCTCTGGCCTCTGGGGACTGGCCCCACCCGGTGCCTCTATTCCTGTGTGTGGAAGTGTGACAAGTTCCCAGTCGGGCACCGGCATCTCCCGGCTGGTGTCTGAGGCTCTGACTCAGAAGGTTAGTCATTTCTGGCAAAGGTTTGCTTCTCTGGAGAAAAGGAGATAAAGTGTGTGCGCAGAGTGCACTTCAGGCTGATGGGAGAACGTGTTCCTGTCACCGCGCGGGCAGAAACCTGGGGGCGGGGGCGGCGGCGGGGGCGGGGGGTGGGTGCTCCGGTGTGTGTCCGCTGTCTCTTTATCGGAAGGTTTTCTTTTTAATCTGCGTAACTAGCAATATTGTAAGAGATGGATATTTGTCTCCAAGTTGCATCCTTATTTATGATACTTGCATGGACAGGAGCAGTGCCCGGCTTGCTCATGTCGTTGGGCAGACGTTCGGAGTGCGTGAGGCGGGATCATGCGCTGTGGCCCCGGAGGTCAGAGCGCTGAGCAGATCCTCCAGAACCCTGGACTCTAGGGAACGGAGAACAGAGCGCTTGGTGGTGTCCATCTCCCTCGACGGACATGGTGCTCAGAATGTTGTAATGTGTCGGCGAGGTGAGCCGCACAGCCGAATTGTAAAGGAACACTTTATTCTCGCCGGCGGGCCGAGGGGGTACAGCGTCCCCAGATCCTCAGCCCCGATTCTTCTTGCTCATCCTAAAGACAAAAGCCCCATCCCCCTTTGCTCCCCCCACCCAGGGGACTGGTATAATATTGGGTGTGACAGGGATTACAGAAGTCAAAATTAGCATTAATCACTGGGCTCATGATTTGCCATTTCTGATACTCGGAAACTGCCAATACCTCCCAAAGCATGGGGCAACTGTAACCTTAGACAAAATTCCTTTACTTCTAGGGGTAATTAACCTATTATTGAAAAATATCGAGGAAGGTCCGTTGATGATAAAAATGGAATCATTTAGTCGCCTTAGCCAAGGGGCCCAGGTCAAGAAGAGCACCCGGTCCACCTGACAGGGCCCCAGACCCCTCACACACTGGCAGCCAAGCCGGGCGCTGTCCTCTGCATGGGAGGGTCTGAGGAGGGCGTGCCGCAGGGAAGGGGTTGAGAGGTCCTGTAGGGTCCTCTTCCCAAATCAAGAGCCCAGTTGACTGGGTACAAATCCCAGCTCTCACCTGAGGAGCCAGGCCCTGGAACGAGCTGTCTACGTTTCTTACCTGTGATGCAGGATTTACTGGCATTTAAAAAAATAAGATTCAAGCTTTCAGAATTGATAAGATTAGAAAGAAAGCGAAGCACATGTTTTCAGTATAAAGTCACCTCCCACCCTGTGGAAGTCCATCTGGCGCTCGCAGCCCTGTGCTGCTCTGACCTCAGCCTCTCCACGTGGGGGCGCTGTGGAGCCCGCAGTCTGCCAGCGCCTTTCTGCCTGGTGCAGCCCCTCCGTGGAGCTGCGCTGAGCAGCTGGTGTTTTGATTTCTCTCATCGCCAGCACGAGCAGGATGGCGGTGCCTCCCTCTCCCCCTGCCACAGTGGAGAGGCCCACCTGCTGCAGGGGCTCTTCCTCCCATGTCCTTGGGAGCACCCTGTCCGGGGTGCGGTGGAGGGGGTGTGGGCAGAGGTGGGGAGGGACTTGAGGGAAGCCCTGGAGGGGGAACTGAACTATGATTTGCCGCTGAAACAGACCTGCTGTAACACCTGAGGTGGAGTTTCGGTGTTAAAAATAGTGCTGTGTCTGTCCCACATGGTGGAGATGGAAGCGTGATCGTATATTGCATGTATTAAACGTGTGATGTGTAATGACAGTGCACTCACCATGCTTGGTGCAGTGGCCGGGGATGTATTAAGGCTTCAGGTGACTGTGGGGAACAGCCTGTCCCATGTTAGGACAGTTCTGAGTTTTCAAAAGAACTTTCTCCAGAGTGAGCCAGGTCCTGCTCCGTGACTCCCCAGCCCCTGGTTCCCATCTGGGCTCCGAAGCCACACAGAACACACTTGCTTCCACTTCCCGTTCTTCACATGGAAGTCGCTGCTTCCTTTAAAGCTGCCCTCCAGGCCAATTGCCTGGTCGCTTCGCCCTCATTGTTTCCCCGCTGAGTGCCCTGCCCACGATCCCCGCGGGGCCTGCACGGGTGCTCCCACAGTCTCCAGCCCGCATGGAGCCTCTTCCTTACCCCGCGTGGCCACTGCCCTCTCGCCGCAGGGCCACCTTCATGATCTCTGTGCTCTGAGTAATCTGCTCCCATTCTTGACTCTCACGGCATGTTGTCCCTTTAGCCATGAACTCTTATTTAAAAATTGGACTGATTTCTAGCTGCACTCGAGAAAGGGTTTTTTGAAGAGCCTTTTCCCAAACAGTTCATACCTGTGAAGTCTTACAGCACTGGTTTTGGCCAGTCCGTTTGGGAGGGACTTGAAGCTTGATTCTGGTGGCCAGTGCCTGGTAGAGCTGTGTAAAGTTGACGAACCATGTCTTCAAGTAACTGATGAAGGGCTGAACCTGGCAGGCTGCGCAGAGGTGCCGTTGCTGCCGTTGTATTCCGAGCATCGCTGAGGCTCTAGGCCCCAGACACCTTCGCTGCTGTCAGGACGGAGTTCTGAGACCGCACAGGCCATGATACATGCCCGTCTCCCTTCTGACAGAGACTCCTGCTGGGGCCCCAACTCTCGCCGCCTTGCTGCTCCCCAGGCCTTCTGCCCAGAAGGCTCCTCTCCCCATATTCCACGACTCTCTGCCTCACCCCAGATCATTGCTTAAAATCACTGTTTTAATGGAGCCTGTCTGGCCACGGGTTCTCAAACCTCCCCTCCCCTCCCACCACTAGACATTCCCAATCTCCTTCCGAGTTTTCTCCACAGCACTTACCTCCTTGTAACAGACTCTGGCATTTACTTACCCATCATTTTCGTCATCGGTTCCTCCTGTCCACACAGGCTCTGTGACTTTTCAAGGAGGCGAGTACATTGCTCAGATTCTTACAGACTTAATATCTGTTCGTGGGTGATTTCTCAACTCCCCCTCATTTTCCTGTTTCTCCAAAGACACTTGTTCTTTCTGCACTCTTATGGAAATTAAAATATGTTCTCTGACTTTTTTTTTTATTACGTTGTAGGTACTCTGTGTGTGTGTGAGACAGAATAAAAGCATTTAAGACTAAATTGGCATAATAATAATCATCATTTAGTATGATCTCATTTATGGAAGTGCTTTACATGAATTGTTTCCTTTAATTCCCAGTCCACTTTATGATGGTCGGCATTTTTATTACACCCGTTTACAGACGAGGGACCTGAGTTGTGGAGTGGCTTAGATCACTTTCCCCAAGCCACAGAGCTAGTGGGTGACGGGCAGGACTGGGGTCATGGCTCCGTGTCCCAGAACTCACGCTCTGAATGCACTCAGGCCAGGGCTGGGTCACCCACGACAGCATCCTCCCTGGAGTGTCCTTCCGTGTGTGCCCTGCTGTGGAGTTCCTTCCCATGGGGGTTCCCTGTGGCAACTGTGTCAGGTGTGTG